GGAATTAAGATTGCCGGAAGAAATATCAACAACCTCCGATATGCAGATGATACCACTCTGATGGCAGAAAGTGAGGAGGAATTAAAGAACCTCGTAATGAGGGTGAAAGAGGAGAGTGCAAAAAATGGTCTGAAGATCATGGCCACTGGTCCCATTACCTCCTAGTTAATAGAAGGGAAAGATATGGAGGCAGTGACAGAGTTTACCTTCTTAGGCTCCATGATCACTGCAGATGGTGACAGCAGCCACAAAATTAAAAGACGCCTGCTTCTTGGGAGGAAAGCGATGACAAACCTCGACAGCATCTTAAAAAGCAGAGCATCACCTTGCCAACAAAATTCCGAATAGTCAAAGCTATGGTTTTTCCTGTAGTGATATATGGAAGTGAGAGCTGGAACATAAAGAAAGCCAACCATCGAAAAATTGATGCTTTTGAATTGTGGTGCTGGAGGAGGCTCTTGAGAGTCCCCTGGTCTGCAAAGAGATCAAACCTATCCATTCTAAGGGAAATCAAGCCTGAGTGCTCACTGGAAGGACAGATCCTGAAGCTGAGGCTCCAATACTTTGGCCATCTCATGAGAAGAGAAGAGTCCCTGGAAAAGACCCTGATGTTGGGAAAGTGTGAAGGCAGGAGGAGAAGGGGGCAACAGAGGAAAAGATGGCTGGACAGTGTCATCGAAGCTACCAACATGAATTTGACCCAACTCAGGGAGGCAGTGGAAGACAGGAGGGCCTAGCGTGCTCTGGTCCATGGGGTCACGAAGAGTCGGACACGACTAAACAACTAAACAACAACAACAAGAGAGCCAGTTCTAGGAAAGAAAATAAGGTGAGGAAAATTGTATATCCATTTTTGCAAATTATATACTCAAGTCAAAAAGTGTTGTAGAGGATCACATTGCACCAGCAGAAATTATCACTGAACATAATATTGATTTGTTTTTCTGAAGGTAATCTATTTCATATTGACTTCGGCCATATTCTTGGAAATTACAAAAGCTTCCTAGGAATTAATAAGGAAAGGGTTCCTTTTGTATTGACGCCAGATTTTCTTTATGTCATGGGAACCTCTGGAAAGAAAACGAGTCCACGCTTCCAAAATTTTCAGGTACAGAAGCACAATCCTTTTACATATTTTGTACAGCCTTTCCTTGATTTAGAGTTCTTAAGAAATCAAAAGTTTTCGATGTTTGTTGCTCTCTAGCAATCAAATCAAGGTAGTACCAAACCCAGAACTTTGTTAGAAGCATAATTGTACACTATCTAAGTGTGATGTGTAGCTCTTCAAATATAAATACTTCAAATATTGCAGAACCACCCAACTTCAATTGACAGTGTGACCAAGTTTCTGGTTTTTGGACGTAGGATCTTTTGATTTCCCAGCATGTGCTTTGCTACAGCTTCCCCTGTTTGCACACGAACTAGAATGTGCTGGAGCTCCTTCTGGATGCTCAGAATAAAAAAAAATATGTGATATATAGTGACTGCAGGATGCCTACCCTCCTCCATTTTTGTTTTATTTGTGACACTGAAGCATTCCCACCATTAGAAATTGTGGGAATCTTCTTCCCCACTTCATCAGACACATTAATTTATCTTTAAGCAGCTAGCCTGTATATATATCTGGGACTGATTTTTGCTAGCTATGTCATTAACTTTTAAACTCAGGCCTAAAACAAACAACATAGTTAGGATTTCATTAGAAACAGAGCTCATTCAAGTGACAGAAGAGACCTGAGTCTTCTAACACAAACTTGTATCACTCTGTATTTTGCAAATTTGCTTCCTTCTGTTTTATGATTGATCATTGGGAGGTAAACACAGCCTTTATTTACATGCCTGATTGTACTATTGTTGCACGTGTGTAGAGATGGGCATGAAGCTCAGTTCAGAGGTTTGTGTGCATGGCACCACATGTGTTGCCCATTCCCTTCCTCTGCCTCCCTTACCCACTCACCAGTCAGAGTGTGCTCCTCTCCTGTTCTTTGGTTGTTCGACCAGTGCCTGGCAGGAGCACGGGTTTGCCTGTCATGGCTCTTTGTCTGAGTGGGCAATCAGCCAAGAAGGTGGGACAGGGAAGCCTGTGCTCCTTCTGGAGACTGGTCAAACACACAAAGAGGAGGAGGAGAGGAGCATGCGCCGACTGGTGAAGGGGGGGGAGGGAATATGCAGCACACATGTTGCTGTGCATACAAGCCAGCATGAACGTCCAAACTGAGGCTTATGCCCATTTCTACATGTGTAGAAAGAAAGCATTGTAATAGCAGAAAATGTGTTTTTCCCCCCTATATGTGGGATTTGACTTTCGGGGTTCCTAGGAATCTGAACCTTCTTACTTGCTTACTAGGAATTCCTCAGTGAAAATTATGAATGACAGGCAAGTGTCCTTTATTGATTGCCTGCTTCTTCTTACTTATCTTGCCCTACAGCAGACCTGGGCAAAGTGCGGCCCGTGGGCCACATATGGCCTGAGAGCCGCTCCTGTCCGGCCCACCGGTCGTTGCTCCTGTCCGGCCCACCCGTTGCCGCTGAGTGAGCCGGAGCTCCAGCTCTAGTCACCCAGCATGGCAGTAAGCAAAACCCGCGAGATCTGACGCTGGGATCTCGCGAGGTTTGACTGTTACTCTTGAGCCGCAGGCTGCAGAGCCTGTGGCTCAAGAGGCCGGAAGCAATCCTTGCGCAGGCAACGTGATGATGCATCACGTCGCCTGCGCGGGATAAAAGACAGTCGGAGAAGAAGGCCGTGGGGGAACGGAGGACAGGCAAGTTAGCTCAGTGTCGGGTTTGTTGTTTTTTTCTCCCACCCCCCACAATGAATGAATTACAACACTCACATAGTTAACTCCCAAAAAAGTTTAGGGAGTTAACTATGTCAGCCTTGTAGTTCGTTCACCACAGGGCCTCACCCAATGGGGGCCTATTACTACCCACAAATTGGGGGCCTATTACTATCCACCTCCGAACACAGTTCAGATTTTTCATGTGGCCCACTATAGAAATTAATTGCCCACCCCTGTCCTACAGCATACAATTAACCTTGTACAAGACAGTAATGAGGCCAGAGGAAGCTTGTCTGGTAACGTGCATGAACCAAATGTCCCTCAAAAATGCTTCTGAATCCTCTGTAAAGCCCCAGAGTTCTTTGCCAATAAATCCAGTCTAGAAATAGCTCTACACTGGAAGCTAATTAGATCTGCAGTTTTCAAAGGAGCCAGTCAATGTATACACTCATGAGCACAAAATAATCATTTCTAGATGTCTTGCAACTAATCTGACCTCAATAGAACTGCTTGCATCTTCCCAGTTCCCTTTTTTCCATGCTTTTATAGACTCTGATCCTCAGTACCTTTGCACAAGAGTGTTGCTTGGGTAGAAATGCACTTCTCTTGGGAGAAGAGACTGGAAAAGAAACAGAAAATCAACTCAGAATTCAGTGAATTTTCTACCCCTATGGCTTTATGATGAAATCGTTTTTGTATCTTCTGTGTTTAGGAGATCTGTGTGAGAGCTTACCTTGCTCTTCGGAACCACACAAACCTTCTCATCATCTTGTTTTCTATGATGCTAATGACTGGAATGCCTCAACTCACAAGCAAAGAAGATATTGAATACATCCGTGATGCACTGACTGTTGGCAAAAATGACGAAGATGCTAAAAAGTATTTCCTAGATCAGATTGAAGTTTGTAGAGATAAAGGGTGGACTGTGCAGTTCAATTGGTTTCTACATCTTGTGCTTGGAATCAAACAGGGAGTAGAGAAACACTCCGCTTAATGATTATACATGTACAAAGAGACTGAAGTCTTGTTCTGTAAGTTTTGTGGCATAAGTCTTTAAATGCTGAAAATCACAGCTGCTGATGAAGTGATCCCAGCAGTGGTGATTTTTGGTAATTAAGACTTCCCCTCCTGTCGCCCTGTCCTCACATGTTCTTGATAATAAAAGGGATTACTGAGGACCCACTGGGGCTTTGTGACAGGAAGAGGAAATGTTTAATTTCCCAAAAATTGCCCTCATTGATGACATCATCAGCCCTGTGCCATGGAATTTACACAAACAAGATTCTAACCATGAGTGGCAAATCTTCTGCTCCTTTTGATGGCTCATAAACAAGATAATCTGGAAGGCTTTCAGTGATTTCCCCACTCCCCAAACTGCCATTATCTTTAGAAAAATCTAATTTTGGGGTTGCTAATGCCAGACCATAATAATTTAATATAGACAGAAGCTTCGTTGAGGTGGTCTCTGCTGCCATATGTGTTAAATATGCTGAAGTCTGCTAGAAACAGAAGTTAAATAACAACACTGGAAAGGAAAAGTCATGCTTTTTCTTGGATCACTCATTAAATACTGTAGATAATATACAGACAGAAAGATCTTGTGAAAACTTCTGAGAACTATGGGGCATTCAGAATAAATTTTAAAACAATATTTTTCTCTTTCTGCTTATGCTGTATAACGTTTTAAAGGCCTTCAGAACTAAATTGTTCCCTCTGTTTTCTCTGCTTTCAAAATATTGTCAAAATACTCTTTTTATTTAACACTATTAAATTATAGAAAAGTGACACAGGATGTGTTATAGCCATGTGAACCATTTCAATAAATGTTATATTTTATTGGTTTGAATATCACACAAAACTCGGAAATGAATAAATTAATTTCTCTGGCAGCCAAATCACTGCAATTTGCAGTTTCTGGAAGACACACTCTCCAAGAGCTCTTCCCTCTGTGATTTTTGTTACAAAATTTTGAAAACTTTGACAATTATTGGTTTTCTCTGTATCTGTTTTTTAAAAAGTTTTTGCTTTTAAGACACACATCCATGCTACATCCTGGAAAGCTACAATGGAAATATGCAAGAGCTTGTAGACATTCAATGAAGAACACGCTCCTCTTTGCTCTTTCAGACAGTCTTTTTCGATTCTCCTGGCTTTCAAAAGTGCCCTGCCATTAAGTTTTTGGGTTTGAATTTCAGAAATAGAAGTTCTAAGGTATCAATGACATTTGGATCTGATCAGTTGCTTCTGTGGGCTGTAACTCTAATCAACAAAATCTTAGTCTCTGGGCTTTGTGGTGGTCTTGGTTTTGGGCTATTTTTCATATCATAAAAACAGTATTGATTTTGAAAAAGGACACCTGATATTTAATATTTCACCATTATTAAATAGGAACTGAAGAGAGAATATACTCATGGTAGGTACTGTGTATACTAACATCTTCACTGGCAAGATGCTGGGAATCTGTAACCAGTTCTGTGAATATACAATTATAAGAACATTGCTAATAGTAGTAGAAGAAGAAAGTCTGTGGCTTAAACTGTAAGTGTAATTCTTACACAGCATGTGCATGATTGTACACATATTTCTGTTACTTGCAAAACATGGGTAAAGATCTAATGTGTAGTTCTCTATCCAGCACCAGCCAAATTAGGACTTCCCTTCACCTTTCTGACTAAAGTCAAAACCCTTTTTCCAGAGATTTTGCCTTTCTTCCAGAGCAGGTTTTAAGGGTGCCTGGCAGGCAGAAGCAGTGGGAGCTAACAGAAGCGCACAACTAGATCCTGGAAATAGCTTGTTAAAATATTTGTTTCTACGTGTTACATGAAATAAAAATTCATTAGTATATTACACATATAAATTAAATACTGGTTAAAGAAATCAGTAGGTCTTTTTAAATTTTTTTCTCCATGTTTGATCAAGTAACCCTATGGTTCAGATTCTAACAAAGACATTTGCATATGGACTGGGGAAAAATTAATGCAAGAGCTTTGAAAGTGACTTTTTTCTTGCTTTTTAAACGGTGCACATCAATTTTCATATATCAGCTATAACTGGAAAGTCTACTGGAGTTGGACTCAGTAGGAAAATGTTTTCTAACAATGGTACCTGTTTGAGTTTTAATGCTCAATTATTTGCACTATATCTCTAGCCTTAGTTTTTAAAATCATGTATTCTAATTTTGATATGAATTGTATATATGATTTATTAAAGAATCTCATAACTTTTTCTGCCATATTTTCCTTATAAATGTATGTAATGTTGAAAAGTTTCCGTACCAAGGAAACAGTGAACATGGTTGTTTCTTCATATCATCACAGGTTCAGGGAGGAAACAAAGGAAGCCATTTAAAATCAAGTGTATATTTTAGCCAGTGTATGTAGACTGCATATTACATGGAAAGTAGAAACACAGAAGATACCACATTTTGTGATGCATTTTTAAAATCTTTAGAAGGCATCATCCCTGGCAGTTGGGTATGCTGGTGGGGCTGATGGGAGTTAGAATCTGTGCAAGCTGTAGGGAATGGGAAGAGGTACAATGGTGTCACTATTACAGTTTCACTCCATGCTGTGGAGAACTTGGTATTTTGAGACTGCTATCATGGATGAAGAAATGAGGCCCCATTATCAATTACCTCACCTTATGTACATCTCATTTAATTATGCTGCCACGATATTATGCACACCTTCTATCATAACTTTTCCAATATATGCATAAAGGAGCTGGGCAGAGTAATGGGGCAAAACAACTTTCACAGTGGGTAGTATTAAATACATACCATAATAAATTGTGTTACAAACCTTATGGGTAATATTTAAAGAGTATTTGTTATCAGTTATTAGGTGTTTTTTTAATCAATAATGGAAGTATTGCTATTTTACATAACAACTGATAACTATTGTAATAGTGACTTTTTCTTTTATAGTTGTTGAAGTGTAGCCACAATAAATGGTGAAGGAGGAATATTCAGTGGTTTACATTTTGTCTCCCACTTTGCCATATATTGCTTTGTGGATATTGAGGTAATTATGAGGTGGTTGTGAAAAGTAACTAGTATTGAGAACTGAGACGTAGTTAGTTTCTTTTGAAATGTGTAAATAAAGTGATAACTGCTTTTAAGGACTTTGCAAATATAGCTGCAACTATTTTTTTTTAAATTAACTTTTCAGCCTCTGGAAAAGACATTGTTTTATCTTCGAGCCCCGTTGTGCAAGGGGGATGTTTTTGGAGCTATATAATAGCAGAAGGACTGGGTGGCAGCAATTTTCCGGCATTAAAGAGTTCCTTATTCCATTCTGCAGCTTCCAAAGGAAGAAGAGGGTCCCTAGGGATCCCCAGAGCCCAGGGGAAACGGAATAGGAAGTTTTTAGTTTTCTTGATATGGGCAGGCTGAGGATATAATCACAGTTGTATGGTGTAAAACCATGCAACAAGATTCTGGTCAATATATAACAATTATTATATAAAGCTGGCAGTCTCATTTTCTAGATTAAAAATGGGGGTAATTTTACTACTCTAATCTTGCAAGATCATTTAAGGGTTAAAGCAGAAAAAGGTGACAAAACACTTCAAACAATCCAGAGCTTTATATAATCAGTTCTTTTAAAACCCTCTGGTTTATGAATGTGGAATATTATGCTTATGTAGTCACTGTTCAAAATACCAGGAAATGGCCTGATATTGCTGGACAACATTGTACCTGCAGTGCCAGCCGGAAAAAGAATGCCAGGCTTTATATAGCAAAGGGCAGCCTGAATATTTATTTTATTTATTTATTTAAAATATTTTATCCAGCCTTTCTTGTTGAAAGGATCCAAGCCAGCTTACAACATTGAAAGACAATAAAATTGAAAACAATGAGTATACATAACATAATTACTATGGTTATGTTAGTTAGCATAGCTAACATAATTAAAAGACAATATTTAAAGCTAAGAACAATGAGTATAAAGAGGCATCTTCATTAAAAAGCAATATTAAAGCTAAGAACAATAAGTATGCAAATATTTAAAAGAAAAAAATTGATAGGTAAGTTTTATATTGTCATAGGTTAAATAGTTGTGTGTGACCACGAAGTTGCACAGGGTTGTGATTTTGTGGGCATCTTCCTTGTTTTGAACTCTATTCATGATGGCTCATAGTCCATCTCTGGGTGATGTTAGTGTAGAGTGTTTCTACATCCATCATGGCTAAGATGGTACTGTCAGGAAGGTCATGTATAGAATTGAAATTTCCTGAGAAAATCCATGGTATCTTAATATAATTTGTTGCATTGGTGGCATAGGGTTTGAGGATGAAACCCATGTATGCAGATACCGCAATCATGAAGGTGTTGATACAGGGGATTTCCCGAGGTTTCCTGGTTTGTGTATTTTAGGTAGCAGGTAGAAGGCGACTGGTTGATGTTCTTGCACTGTGTTTGTAAGGTTTTGTTCACGTGGATTTGGAATACTAGAAACACTACTTCTGGATGCACCTTGGTTTAGTGAAATGGATTAGCATCAAGCAAAATAAGGTATAATGCAAATCACAATTTGGTGCCACAAATTACGTTGATGGCTGGTAGCTTTGAGGCCTTTGGGCTGTACCCAAAGAGTGTTCCCAAAAGTTTCCTCATCACCTTGGATAGAACTGACAAGTGGGGCAGTGCAGGGTACTATCCTGGGTATTTTGACCCCTTTCTTTTGGTGAATCCAGATAGTTTCTTGTGCTCCCAAAATGTTTTATTTTGAGTTTTCCTCTTCATAGATTTTTGTTGGGTGAGGAAAAACAAACAAAAGTGGGAAACACAAGATGGGTACACATGGAATTTGATGCCATCTGAAATTCTTGTAGAACGCCATTGAAGAGGAAGTGCCTTTATCACTCAACACAAAAAGCACCCTTCCAGTCTTGAGAATTGATCCTAAGAACAAATTGTATTGCACCATCATAACAATTTCCTGAGCATGTCAACTCCATAGCATGTCAGTACTAAAAATAGTCCACTTTGGCATGCCAGCTGGAGCTCCTTGGATGAGAAAAGAAAGTAATGTGCCCTTAGTGAAATGTGATAGGGGCATGCCAGGAAATATCTCCAGCACAATAGTATGTGTCCCATCATTACAAGCAAATGAGTTTTTGCAGGTTAACTTGTGATTATTTTGACAAACATGGTCTTGAAAGCAGTTAAATCTGCAAAAATGCTACCTGTTCATTCTCATATAATCAGCCTAAAAGGTTCATTTATTTATGTTACATTTATATAACTCATATTACTTTCAATATTTGTTGGTATAATATAGGGCACCTCTTGGCAGCAGCAAAACAAACTATACTTTAAAAAGACCTAGAAGGAGTCTCAATTACAGTATGATATCCTAAAATATGGTAGGGAGCATTACATTGACTTATAATGTGCATACAACAACTGGGAAGAAGCAAGCAGATTCATTTGTCAAAGACTGGCTTCTCTTTATGAACAGTTTTGTTTATGTATAGAACAGACAACAAAGTGTTCCTTGATGCATATAGATACTGTTGGTCTATGTAACACAATAAATGATAGGGAAGATTCCCTCTTAGAGGCTATAGATATTATGGTTTGTGTATTTAAGGATTTGCACTACATGAATTAAGTTTGGGACAAGGAGGGTGGGGAAGTTAAAAAAAATGGATAAATAAAATATACATTTGGATTCTGCCTCTCCTTCAATAGGCCACAAAATTCTCCTCCATCCTACTTGATCCTCCTAAAAACATACAAGGTTGGTGAGGATGGAAGAGGGTAGCTGATTGGATTCAGTGTGTTTCATGGTTCATTGGGAACTTGAACCTGGACTTCCCAAGCGCCAATCCATATGGTAACTGATATTATTATCTTAGAGTGAGGCTACATTGTTGAAATGAATCAGGAGCTGGATCAGGGGTTTTGAAATTGATTTAAGATCACATGGGTTTTATGTCAGTGTGTGCATCCTCTTGTGGCAACTTTCATTCCTGTATTACCATGCCTTTTCCTCAAGAGCTTGCAGGAGAAAGGTGAGTGAGAACGATGAGCTGAAAGGCAGGAAATAAGAGTCTCAACTGCTTCCCCAATCCAGATGAACAATTCTCTTGGTGTTCTGTTCAATCTTCTGAGCTTGGCAGCAGCAACACTGTACAACCGACTGTCAGTTCCTCTAATATGGGAATATTTACAGTCTCATCCCTATCATTCTTCACCACATCAGGCTTCTGCATTGAAGGATGCTACTTTCAGATCTGGCATCATAATTTAGCAAGCAAGCAAGCAAAATAAGTTTATTGTATGGCACACAGGCCATTGCAATATACATCAGATAAAACAATATAAAACGGTATAAACAATATAATATACTCCATTAAAATATAGTACAATAAAATATTAAAAGCCATTTAGAATCAGATTGATTTCTATTACAGCACAAAATTTTGACATCTAAGGAGAGGACAAAGACAGAGGGAAAACGTTAACCAATGCCAGCAGCAAGCACCTATCGTAGGGGAATAACCCCAAAGATGTAGTTACTTAAGTATTGACTAAATTGGTAGAGGTGGGGGATACAGATTTCATTTTTATCAATGAAAAAATAAACCATGCCATTCAGAAAGTGACAAATTTGTCCCTGTCGGAAATTAGAATCTTGAGTTTTTCTTCTTCAGAATTACTAGAATGTTTTGTAAAATAGGGTTAAGGAGTCTTTTGCAATAGGTGTCTAATAGTGGGCAATAGAGCACTACACGTGCCAAATTCTCCACTGATTTTTGATCACAGGAGCAAACTCTCTTGAGATACGGAATTTGTGTATAACGGCCTAATAACCTGGCTAGTGGTGACATATCAAAACGTGCCCAAGTAAAAGCTTTTCTATAATCAGAACTCATTAGATCAGCAAAATATGATGGAAGATTCAAAGGCAAGGATAGAATGTTCTTATATAAAGGGGCTATTTTTAGGGTGCCTAATCAACCTAACTCTGTTTAAACCCAGTGGTCAGACAATCTCTGTTTCAGTAAATGTTTTGCAGTGGATAGGCCAAGGTGTCTCACATACTCTTCTGAGAATCCAAGTGTAGCAACTAGTTGCAATGCAAGAAGTTTCCACAATCCAAAATTCATCTCCTCATATGATGCTATTAAAAATTCTGACTAAGTGATGAACAGAATTTTCAGCCAGTAATTAATTATTAACTTGTAGAC